AGAAGAAGAAGAAGAAGAAGAAGAAGAAGAAGAAGAAGAAGAAGAAGTACATTTAAAACAGGGGTGTCCAAGCTTTGCTGGCTGAGGAATTCTGGGAGTTGAAGTCCACAAGTCTTAAAGTTGCCACGGTTGGACACCCCTGATTTAAAAGGATGCCAATTATTTTTTCCCCAAAAAATTCTGAAAGTTCTTTCAGACTCAGGAGATATTGGACCTTCTCTCTCGGCTCATTTTTTTAAAAATATTGTTTAGATTTAAAGTAATAAGATTGAAGTTTTCCAAAACTGCACGTGAGTAGAGATGGACAGAATATTCTATGCCCAAAACCAACTGTTCCACGTGTTCCAAGCATAAAGCACACATTCACATTCTATGTGCTTAAAGTCTGAGAATTTGTTTTCTCTGGTTTTGCCTTGGCCTGAAATCAAAATCTGGCTATTTCAAGAGACAGCATTTTGAAGAGATCCAGGTACTATGCTGTTTTATTCCCATAACCAACTTGTCTTTTCTCAAGATATTTCCAGCCTAGCTGGACTGACCACATGCTAATCACATGTCTACTATCAGTTTAGGTAAAAAAACAGTGAGATAGGAGTGGAGGGAAAAGAGCCATTTATTACACATTGTTTGAGAAGATCTGGACCACTGTGACTGACCAAATGCAAATAAAATGAATTAATACTGCTACTGGAGCTAGATGGGGAAGACAGGGGCAGTGGGGGGGGGGGGGGGTGGGATCTGCTATTAATCAATCAACCACCTCCACTGTGATGACCCCCCCATTGGGGCCCAAAATAGATTTTACTTGCTTATTAAAGAAATAATATATTTCTATACTGGTTTGGTTGACATTGTAAGTTTTGGCTCTCGTATCTTGCTGTTTAATTTTAGGAATGTACAAAAAAGAATTCTAATTTGGTTTGGTTAAGTTTGTTAAGCTTTTGCATGTTTTTGTGTCTTGTTGATGTAGAATTTTCAGAGAATATTTAAATTCAGTTTCTGCTGGTATGTACAGCCTGACAAATGCAGTATTAATATTCTATCTTTTAATGAAGGTAGTATGTTATTTAAGGGATAAATGGCAACGCTTTTTTGTAGCAACACAAATCTAGCAAAAAGAATAATAACACAGTTGCTTCTTTCTGAACTTCTGCTTCTTAAGTAAAGATTGTTGTGGTCTGCCTGAGGCCTGCGGAGCTGGCAGCAGAGTCGGACAGTGGGAAGGAACATGGAGTCTGGGGAGGACTCGGACGAGGGATCTGCGTCCAACACAGAGATGGGGCCAGGGCCATCTGAGAGTTATGCTGACTCCGGAGCCTCCAGAATCTGACATCAGCAAGGCAGAGGAACAGGGGAAGCCTGTTCCCAGTGTGCGCTTGCACAGAGCTGTCAGAAGGCAAAAACAGTTAAGACAAAAGGGGCGACTCGGGAGTAAGGCATGGAGATAATTGGCCCCTCCCATAAGACATAAAGGAGGAGCAAAGGGACATGAGCCTTTGCAGGAAGCAACTTTGTTCATTCTGATCGGTTTAAACACTGAAGCCCCAAGTTGACTTTGTGCTCCATTTGGCCTTGTGCAGCTAATTGGCAATTTAGTTGTTGGCAGCATTTCAAGGAAGATAAAGGTGGGTGCTTATCAGCCTTATCCAGAAAAGACCATGGCAGACTTCTGTTGGACTATTCACAAATTGTTTTGGAACTCATTATAATTCACAGCCGTTGAAATAGCCGTTGAAATAAAGCCGTTGGGGACTAAGCGTGTAATTGTTACTGTCTCAGGAAGCCTTGGTTAGAACAAAGGTAAAGGTTCCCCTCACATATATGTGCTAGTCGTTTCCGGCTCTAGAGAGCGGTGCTCATCTCCGTTACAAAGCCAAAGAGCCAGCACTATCCGAAGACGTCTCCATGGTCATGTAGCCAGCATGACTAAACACAGAAGGCGCACGGAATGCTGTTACCTTCCTACCAAAGTGGTCCCTATTTTTCTACTTGCATTTTTACAAGCTTGGAACTGCTAGATTGGCAGAAGCTCACTCGTTGCGCAGTGCTAGGGATTCAAACCGCCGAACTGTCGACTTTTCTGATCGACTAGCTCAGCATCTTAATCACTAAGCCACCGCATCCCTCACCACGTCTGCTTCTTAGGGAGATAGAATTCCTACCCACAAAGAGTGCCAGATTTGCTGAACATTTTAAAAAGATGGCAGTACTTCCTAATTTTTATCTATCATTCATCCATCCTATAAAATGGTCAAAGGAATCCATTATTTCTTAAAAGAATGTTTAAATTTTTTTTAAAAAAAATTACCCCATGACTTTTTTTTTCTCTTTTATCTAGGTTAACAGGGAGTAATTAGTATATACTAGCATCTCATCTATCATTTTGGCTATAAGATGGAAAATAAGGGTGCCTGCAGCTTGTTCCAAATTCTTTTTGTTTTCTATAGCCAAGCACTCAATAATTTTGTGGTTTCTGCCATCAAATATAGAGGGACTGGATTATCTGAGTTATGTCCCATTGAATTACAGTCAAACTAGAATATATAGATGGATTTTTAAGGAGTCTTTATTGTAACCTAGAATCAAGGGAAAATGGACACTTTTGAGTAAGCCTTTGAGTTTCTAAGAACTCTTTGTCAATCAATAAGATTAATAAACCAGGTGTGTGGGCATAGTTTAAATATCTTTTATACTTTTATCTTTTACTGCCCATTCACTTCTGAATTTTTAATGAAATTCTGAAACTTGCTTTTGTTGCCTAATAAAAATTGCTTTAATCAGACATTTGCATTCACTTTTTCTCAGACAGCATTCCTGATTTTGCTCTTCTTTCGGTATTCACAGGTCTTTCCTCTCCTTTCTCTTCTCAAAATCAGCAGAAAAAAAAATTAGCATAGAGAAATAGAGAGAATTAAAACTGCACAACAGCCACTCTTTTGCTATCATCCCAACTGGAAAAACTACCAAGCTAAAAATGATATGTTGGTTCAACAGTAGTATTGTCCTGTAGTTCCATTCTCCTTCGGTCTGGGGCTATCAAATGAGTCTGAAGACCAGACTCTAAATAGAATGGATGCCCATTCTCTTTTGCAAGTATAATGAGCATGGAGTCAAGGGAAGACTAAGAGTGCACGGAGTCAAGGGAACACTATATCAACCCAAACTAGGGGAAAAGGGTGATTATTCAGCACTCAACACTGTGGCTCTCTGACAGGACTTTCTACAATGCTCCTTTGAAGAAGACAAAAGGTAGGTCTTAAAGAAATAACAAAAAGAATTAAATCTATTGCCTTTTGTAGATCTATTATGAGAAGAACCTTCTGTTGTCTCCCTTATGGTGGGATACTCCAAGACAGAACAGTCAAAGACTTGGCAGAGATTATAATAGTCAGAAGAAGAAAAAAGCAATCAACAGCTTTACAACCCTTTCTAGTTTTCTCCATTGTCTTTGGAGAGGGAATGCCGTCCAAAACCCCACCGACCATTATATCTTGGTTTCTCTGAGGGTCTTTCTTGTGTGCAGAACACATTACCAGGTATTGAGCAGGTGGGCAATTTTCAGCAAAATAAAATGAAGGGAAACACCTACCCCTTCAGGAGGATGGGCCGTCCATCCAATCTCCGAGGTCTCTCCTGTTGTATCCAAAAGGATTTCTGTTGGAGAGATAAACAGATAAAAATGATGGTTTTAGGAGACAGTTCCAAATGACAGCTAATTCCTTCCTATATCATCTCCTGAGGGCCAGCATGATTACTAGTCTCAAACAAGATTTGCTATCACTGATGGGATCGGGGCTGGGGGAACGATGAGTTTGTCAGCTTTGCAAGTGATTTCTTGCAAGTCTTCAGGCATGATTTTCATTTAAGTGGTTTCATTCATTACATGCAGCTAGTTCATGCTTTGGGAATGAGTCATATGTACCACATTTATCACCTGTTTCATTCCAATTTCCATTGAAGAGCTTATTTACAAGCAGCAACTACTGCAGATTCTGCTTTTACAAACATAGAATTCCTCTTATATTACCCATTCTCAAAGCCATTATCTTTAAGACAGAGTTAGTACCTGTCTTATTATTTTCTTATTTTGCTGAAGACGTTAGCAACAGGACAAGGCGGCTTAAGCTGACTGAAACATGTTTGGTTCCTAAAGTGCACTGTGACACCAGTGGAGATCAAAGGCTCCCTTCCCCTTCCCTGCTCTCCTATCTCAGTTAACACTAAACAATAACTTTTGAATATTTGTTTTAAAGAAACACTTCTTTTCAGAAGAGAGACCAATGACTGAACAAAAGCTCTTTCAACTCTTTCATTATGTAACTTCATCCAGAGCAAAGAATGAACCCTGTAAACACAGGTTGTATCTCCACAGAAGTAGTGCAGCAATTAAAGCTGTTGAGCAAAATGGTAATGAGTTACAAAACATAGGATGTTGGTTGTTCTTTTTTAAATTGTCATACTTAAAGTAAAAACAAGAGAAGCTATTTATTTCCCAGAACTTCCAGTAGTGGATATTCTGAGGTACTATTCATGATGCATTCTGTCCTTAAGTTGTTTGCTTGCAGAAATTCCATTACCTGATTGGGCAACTTTATCAGTGCTAACGAGGGTGAGCTTTGCTGCTCCCTATTTATATACAGTTCAATCTCAAGCTCTCTTGGAAGGTATTACTCCTATTTACATCCTGCACTGATCTGGTACATTTCAACAAATCTTTAATTTGAAAACATGCTAGAAATTTGCTGGATCAAAAACTGACTCTTAAAACAGATTGGACCACAAAGTCCACACCTAAGTCATTTTGTATCTGAAATTGGAGAACCAGTAAAGGATGCTTTCATAGTGGTCAAAGGACAGAATTGTTCTACTTCTGCTTCTCCTGGACCATATTGAGCAAAGGGCAAGAAATACTCTTACGTAGGCTGGGCCAGCTTCAGAGGTGGTATTCAGCAAGTTCTGACCAGTTCTGGAGAACCGGTAGCAGAAATTTTGAGTAGTTCGGAGAACCAGCAAATACCACCTCTGACTGGCCCTGCCCCCATCTATTCTCTGTCTCCCAAGTCCCAGCTGATCGGCTGGGTCTTCTTTGGTTGCCCTGCACAGGAGAATGGAGAATGGAGCTGGAAAGCAAGTTAGTGAGGTGGGGAGGGAATGGAGATTTTGCAGTATCCTTCCTCTGCCATGCCCACCAAGCCACACCCACCAAGCCACACACCATGCCCACAAGTCACGCCACCAAGCCACACACCATGCCCACAAGAACCAATAGTAAAAAAATTTGAATCCCACCACTGGCCAGCTTCTAGAATATAACCAAAATCAGGCGCATATGCCCATCTCTAAACTTAGGCTTCCCTTTTATGTTTAAGTAGTAAGAGCTGGCTTAAAGGAGACATTATATGTACAACAGAAAGGTATTTAATTAATTAAGCCAACAAAGTAACTTTTGATTCCGATCAAAATGGAAACTTTATTTTGGACAACCAACTTAACATCATCATAGACATTTTATTTAAGGAAATTTTTAGCGTGGGAAGTGAGAAAGAGAAGGACAAACATTTCCTTCAGGGCCTTGCATTCCACAGCTGGCCAAAATGATGCTCCCCAGATGCCTTGTCTCCAGTGACCCAGGTATTATTTTTGAAGAAATCAAGAGACAGAGAGCGCACATTAATTTTTCATGGGCCAGCAAATACATACAACCTGCGGCTGAGAGGGCTCTCCTCCAATAGGAGACATTTAAACAACCAGCACGCGTAGAGACAGAGGAAAGGAAGGACGCATAGAGCAAGTAGACTAAGGAGTTAGTAAAATGGTTCACATATGAGGGATTTAAACGGATCAATTTCCCTTCTCCCCATCTTTCACATTTTTTGTATCACGCAGAGAAGTAAAAAATGTCTATGGAACTGGGAAATCTCAGGACTCTGGAATCTTGCATAGGAAAATGAAGAATTTTGGCGCAGTGGCAAGGCAAAGAAAAAGAAATCTACTACACATTGAGTTAGAATGGTGTGATTTAGCAAATTGGGATCAGTTGTTGCAGGCAGGAACGAGCAGATTACCTTCCCCTCCAAAATTAATTTAAAAGACTATTGTTTTAAAATGTACATTAAAAAAAGGACCTAGAGTACACACAAAAATGTGTACAGGTAAATAAATTAAGAACCATCCATTGAGCAACTGTTCAAAGTTACAATGGCACTGAAAATGAAATGAGTTAAAACTGATCCTCACATTTAGGACTTTGGCAGTATCTCCAATGGTCACATGATCAAATTCTGAGAGCTTGGCAACTGGCATGTATTTATGATGATTGCAGTGCCTCAAGGTCATGTGATTGCTATTTGCGACTTTTCCAGATAGCTTTTGACAGTAAAGTCAATGGGGGAAGCCAGATCCACTTACCAGTAACAATCATATGATTCACTAACAATTCCAGGGAATCACTTAACAGCGGTAGCCAAAAAGGTTGTATAATTGGATGCGACTCATTTAACAATCACCTTGTTTGGAAATTCTGGTCCCAATTGTGATTCGAAGACCACCAGTATAACACACAGTTGAATTTTGTAAGAGGGTTCTATTAGAAGCTTTGCTCTTCAAAATTGTGATGACCCAGAGTATATCAGAAATATAACAAAATCCAAAACGTAACTAAAAGTCCTTTAATGCCTTCAACTTGGCTTCACTGTTTAATTGTTCACAGTGAAGAAGTAAACTATTTTCAAAATAACATTTCAAAGGCAAGAAACGCAGTTCACATTCAAAGAGCTGATAACGAAGCAAAAACCAAAAACAAACCGCATTGAATAAAGTTCCTTGACAGACCAGGATAGATAATTGCCAATTTCAGGAAGATAACCAGGGACAGTCCGTTGGAAGAACGCCAACCAAGATAAACCTTCTTTAGAAATAAAACACTAATTTGTCTCCAGCGTCTGTTAGCACGCAGGTCCACACTCTTATGCAGATCTCACACCTGCAACCCATGAAGAGGATCATGGCCCTCTCCTCCCAAGTAGACCATGTTTTACCCTGATCCTCTCCTCCCTGCGTGCTCTAGGATGGATAGGGGATGGGCTTGGGTCCTCCTCTGACTGCTCAGAGTCAGTCTCCACCAGGGGCACGACAAAAATGATGTTATAGAAGTTTGCGTAGAAACATGCCTGTATTTGTGGAAACTGCACATAACCAGAATTTTCCATTTTTAAAAAAATCAGAAAATCTAATGAAATAAAATAGTATATAAATCCATCTGACATAAATTTAGATTGATCTGCTATCTCAGGCTTAGTTGACAGTACTGCTCTCTGTAAGTCTTACATTTAAAAGCATTTGATTTTTAGATGTTCTTTTAAGATATATGTGCTTATACTGTACTTGCTAAGAAGAAAAAGAAAAAAAATGCTGACTATCTAGAAAACTCCCAAGTAAGCTTATTATTTTTGGTTGGTCCTGTTTTGCTTCTGAATTAATCAGCTTCCAGGTACTGGTATTTACTATTAAAAGATTAGAATATTGATTTTCTTTTTCCTCTGCTCCTTAATATTAACCTCAGCATCCTTTATCACCATCCTTACCATGTACTGCTCCACTGAGCTGTCAAATATAGTAACCCTCTTTAAATTAGAGCATGTGTATTCTTCTTACTCACTCAGATATGACACAGATTTAGGCTAATGGTTCAGTTTAATATCAGACTTCTTAGGACAGAGAAGGTCATCTTCATATCCTTGTTTGCTTGCACTGTAACCCCTTGAGAAAATGGAAAATATATTTGGGGCCAATCATCACATTTTTTTATTCCAGAGAACAGATATTGATCTAATTCCTCTGCTCAAAATCATAACAAACTGAACTGAAAAGTCAGATCACACCCCTCCAATTTGCAGAAGAATATATACAAGAATTCTACATTTAGCAACCATAACTGGAACTGGCAAGTTGACCATTAAGTGAAGTAGTCACTATGTGATATCACGACTGTGCTTTTGATCGTACATCAGCTTTCCTTAAAAACATAATATTTTAACCCTTTCAGATGTGCCCCTCCCTTTACCTGGTTTAACCCATAAATCACTTGCAAAACTGACAAACTCCTATTCCCCTGCTACTATACTGTGTTACTCCCAGGTACAGCATCTAAAACAATCATAAACTCTATGACCTGCCAATTTGAATGGGCCGTGGCAGCCAAATATGTCTGGCTGCCCATCAGAAGCTCTATAGATGTACCAATAGAAGAGAATATAACCCAGGGTTGAACTGTGGGGTCCTTGCTGCTCTCTGAGCTAGGGGGTTTTCTTGCAGATTTTTCATTACCAAACTAGCTAACATCACCATCAGTGCTAGTCCTGATAATTGTATTTATTTATTTTATTTATTTATTTATTTTGCCAAGCGATTGTAAGATAACAGGTATAAGTATAAACATAGTTATGAATACATGAAATGGATACATATAAGAAAAATAAAACAAAAATAAAATAAAAGAAACAGTAGGACAGGGACGGTAGGCACATTGGTGCGCTTATGCATGCCCCCTACAGACCTCTTAGGAAAGGGGTGAGGTCAACAGTAGACATTACCTACTTTGGTAATGAAATGTCTGGCAAGACAACAACCAAGCTCAGACAGTACCAAGGCCTCCA